GTGTGTGTGTGAGCATACTCACCTAGTTGTGATTGCAAGGAGTCGACTCACAGCTCCTGGCCCTGCCGCTTCACTGGTCGCTACTAGGTCATTCTCCCTGCTCCATGAGCTTTATCATACGTCTTCTTAAAGCAATGTATGGCTCGTACCTCCCCTACATCACTCCCCAGACAATTCCACTTCCTGACAACTCTGAGATTGAAGAAATACTTCCTAACATCCCTATGATGCATCCGAGTCTTCAACTTTCAAATGTGACCCCTTGTTGTTGTGTCCCATCTCCGGAACATTCTGTCTCTGTCCACCTTGTCGATTCCTCTTAGTATTTTATATGTCGTTATCATATCCCTATATCTCTCCTGTCCTTCAGTGTCGTCAGGTCGATTTCCTTAACCTCTCAGCTGTGTACTCACCTAATTGTGGTTGCAGGGGACGAGAGTTAGCTCCTGGCCCCGTATATTGTGTGTGTGTGTGTGTGTGTGTGTACTCACCTATTTGTTGTTCCAGGGGTCGAGTCACAGCTTCTGGCCCCGCATCTTCACTGATTGCTACTAGATCCTCTGTCTCCCTGCACCATGAGCTTTATCATACCTCGTCTTAAAACTATGTATGGTTCCTGCCTCCACTATGTCACTTTCTAGGTTATTCCACTTCCTGACAACTCATTGACCGAGGAAATACTTCCTAACATCCCTTTGACTCATCTGAGTCTTCAACTTCCAACTGTGACCCCTTGTTTCTGTGGCCCATCTCTGGAACATCCTGTCTTTGTCCACCTTGTCAATTCCTCGCAGTATTTTAAATGTCGTTATCATGTCTCCCCTGACCATCCTGTCCACCAGTGTCGTCAGGCCGATTTCTCTTAACCTATCTTCGTAGGATAATCCCTTTAGCTATGGGACTAGTCTTGTTGCAAACCTTTGCACTTTCTCTAATTTCTAGACGTGCTTGAAAAGGTGTGCATTCGAAATTGGTGCTGCATACTCCAGTATGGACCAGACATATATGGTATACAGAGTCTCGAACGATTCCTTACAGAGGTATCGGAATGCTATTCTTAGGTTTGCCAGACGCTCGTATGCTGCAGCAGTTATCTGTAATAAAGTTGGTAGAATTACCGACAATATGTAAAGTAAAAGGACACAAGTGCAACTAATGTGACATTTATTGTGGCAACGTTTCGCTCTCCAGGAGCTTTATCAAGGCTTGATAAAGCTCCTGGAGAGCGAAACGTTGCCACAATAAATGTCACATTAGTTGCACTTGTGTCCTTTTACTTTACAGCAGTTATCTGGTTGATGTGCACCTCAGGAGATGTGCTCGGTATTATACTCGCCCCAAGATCTTTTTCCTTGAGTGAAGCTTGCAGTCTTCGGCCACCTAGACTATGCTCTGTCTGCGGTCTTTTTTGCCCTTCCCCGATCATCAATACTTTGCATTTGGCGGGGTTAAATTCAAGAAGCCAGTTGCTGGACTAGGCTTGCAGCCTATCCATGTCTCTTTGTAGTCCTTCCTGATCCTCGACCGATTTAATTCTCCTCATTAACTTATCATCTGCAAACAGGGGCACTTCTGAGCCTATCCCTTCCGTTATGTCATTCACATATACCAAAAACAGCACAGGTCCTAGAACTGACCCCTCTGGAGCCCCGCTCGTCACAGGCGCCCACTCTGACACCTCGTCACGTACCATGACTCGTTGTTGCCTCCTTGTCAGATATTCTCTGATCCACTGCAGTGCCTTTCCTGTTAAGCATGAATAATCCTCTAGCTTTTGCATTAACCTTTTGTGAGCAACTGTGTCGAAGGCCTTGTCTTAAAAACTCAGTTGGTTTGTGACACAGGATTTTCCTTCCCTGAAACTGTGCTGGTCGTCGTTTTTACACTTATGTCTTTCTAGGTGCTCCACCACTCTCCTCCTGATGATCTTCATGACTTTGCATACCCGTCAGTGACAGTGACAATGACAGTGACAGTGTCTCATTTCTTAAAAGCTGGGACAACATTTGCCATCTTCTATACCTCAGGTAGTTGCCCAGTTTCAATGGATGTGTTGAAGATTTTTGTTACTGGCACAAACAGCATCTCTGCTCCATCTCTAAGGACCCACAGAGAGATGTTGTCTGGTCCCACCGCCTTTGAGGTATCAAGTTCACATAGCAGCTTCTTCACCTCCTCCTTGGTTGTGTGTATGTCTTCCTGTCTCCACTGTAAATACTTCTTTAAATCTCATGTTGAGCTCCTCACATACCTCTTGGTCGTTTCTTTTGAACTCCCCACCTTTCTTCCTCAGTGTGATTACCTGGTCCTTGTCTGTTTTCCTCCTGTGGCTATACAACAGCTTCGGGTCAGACTTAACTTTCGATGCTATGCCATTTTCGTATTGTCGCTGAGCCTACCTTGTTATCTGTGCATATTCGTTTCTGGCTCTTCGGCTAATCTCTTTATTTTCCTGGGTCCTTTGTCTTCTGTACTTTTCCATTCTCGTGCACTTAGTTTTTGCCTCCCTACGCTTTTGGGTGAACCAAAGACTCGTTCTGGTCTTCCCATTTTTTCTGTTTCCTTTGGGAATGGACCTCTCCTCTGCCTCCTTGCATTTTGTTCTCACATAGTCCATCATTTCATTTACTGGTTTTCCTGCCAATTCTCTCTCTCACTGAACGTCTTGCAGGAAGTTCCTTATGCCTTTGTAGTCCCCCTTTTATAGCTTGGTTTTCCCGTCCTATTCCTGGTACCCCTCTCCACTTGTAACTCACCTATGTTATCAAAACACCGAACCACATAATCACTAGCTCCAAGCGGCCTTTCGTACATGATATCATTGAGGTCCGAACTACTGAAGGTGAATACTAGGTCCAGTCATGTTGGATCATCCTCACCTCTCTCTCTGGTAGTGTCTCTAACATGTTGATGCATGAGATTTTCCAGTACCACATCCATTATCTTGGCTTTTCATGTTTCGGAACCCCCATGGTGCTCCAGGTTTTCCCAGTCAATCTCCTTTGATTCAAATCGCCTATGACTAGTAACTTTGCTCTTCCCATGTAAGCTCTTCTTACCACCTCGGCTAGTGTGTCTATCATTGCTCTGTTGCTCTCGTTGTATTCTTTTCTTGGCCTACTGCAGTTCTGTGGCGGGTTGTACATTACTGCAATTACCATCTTATGGGCCTCAGACTGGATTGTTCCTACAATGTAGTCCCTTTCGCCCATTCCATTCATTCCTTCCTTTCCTCAAATCCCCCACCGGTTTTTAATGAGCATAGCAACTCCTCCTTCCCTTCTGCTCTCTCTATCTTTCCTGAGGATTTGATATCCGGGTGGAAAGATTGCATCTGTTATAATCCTGGTGAGTTTCATTTCTGTGGATGCTATTATGTCTGGAGATGTCTCCTTGATTCTTTCATGCCACTCCTCACATTTATTTGTTATTCCATCTATATTACTATACCAAACCTTCAACTTCTTTTCTAAAACTGTGGTCTGGGACGGTACGTTGGGATTTGGGGAAGTGGGAGACCTGATGAGGAACTATGGGCGGTTACTATGAAGGTGGAGTTTTTAATGAGGTGGGTGGGGGCGATGGGTACAGCATGTGTGTATTGGGTTAGAATGTTTGGTTTCATTGCAGTTGACCTGGTTGGTGGCGTCTGTAGGTGGTTGTGAGGGAGGTTGTATTTGATTTTCCTCCTGAGTCTGGGTTCTCCTGTCCATCTCCATCTTCACCTCTCTTTCCTCCTTTCGTTTTCGTACTGTTTCAGTTTCTGCCTTTTTTTTCTCGTGTTCTGCCGCGGTTGAGATACACCCTCTGGTATGCCGACATGTCCCTTAGTCTTGGTTTCTCCTGCAGGATCCTGTTTCGAGCAGATTCTGCCTTGAAAATCACTTTGACTGGCCGGGTTCGTCCTCTTGCAAATCCCTCTATTCTCAGAAAATTTGCCAACTGCTTTCACGATGCTTTCAATCGCTTTTATCTCCCCTTGTCTTCTTGCTTGGTAAGTTTCCCCTTCAACTTCCTGGAGCCCATAAACAAAGACTGATCTCTCCCTTTCATTCTCCCACTGTATATCCCTATGTATCCTCTGATTCGATTTATTTGCCTCAATTACAGCTTTCCTTTCTTCAATCTCTTCACTGTCTGTTGTCCATGGGCCCAGTGGTCTGTCATTTTCCATTCTCAGCTTTCCCTGGGCACTGCTGTGGTCTGTTAGGGCCTCTACATCCAGCTTTCCTCTTTCATTTTCTACAGTTCCTTCGACTGCTCCTGATATGTTCCTCTTTTTTACTCGGGCTGCACGATGCTCTGATAGGACTTCTGCATACAGTTTCACTTCTTTGTTCGTGAGTGTGAATGTGTGTGTGTGTGTGTGTGTGTGTGTGTGTGTGTGGTGTGTGTGTGTGTGTGTGTGTGTGTGTACTCACCTAGTTGTACTCACCTAGTTGAGGTTGCGGGGGTCGAGTCCGAGCTCCTGGCCCCGCCTCTTCACTGATCGCTACTAGGTCACTCTCCCTGAGCCGTGAGCTTTATCATACCTCTGCTTAAAGCTATGTATGGATCCTGCCTCCACTACATCGCTTCCCAAACTATTCCACTTACTGACTACTGTGTGTGTGTGGGTGTGTGTGTGTGTGTGTGTGTGTGTGTGTGTGTGGTGTTTGAGGAGAGAGAGAGTGGTGTGTGTGTGTTGTGAGTGCAGAAGCCAACCGGTGAGAGAGTAATCCCTTTTTTCTTAAGTGAACTTTCTAGTTCCTGAAGACATTCTTTGAAAAATTCTCATGGTTTTGAGGGTTAGATTCAATATATTATAAAAAACTATATAATAATGATTATTTTAAAGTTAAAGAAAACACAAAATAAATAGTGTCCTGAAAATATAATTTACACTACGGTAAATATGATGCATAAAATTAGAATATTGCGAACAGTTTCAAATAGATGTCAAAGGTAAAAAATAGGATTTCTGAATTCTGCAAAAAAACCACGAACGATAAGATATTTACCTGTAACTTGTTGATTAAGGAATAAAAACATTCAGACAAGACAATGCCCAACATCACTAAGTCAAACTTCTCCTCTTGAACTTCTTGTAATTCTTGGGAACGAAGAATTTTGCCACAATATTCAGGTGACATGGAAAACATCTTCATGAATGAGCTGAACTGATTCCTTACAAAGGTGCTAGAAAATTCTGAAAAAATGTTTGTATCCGCAACAAATACTTCCTTGATTCTTCTTCTTGAATTTGATGCCTGATGCCCGGCTACGAACGTCACCTGTGATAAGCATTGTACCTAATATATATGAATATATATATAAATATATATATATATACATATATTTATTAAAATATATATATTATATTATATATATATATTATATATATATATATATATATATATATATATATATAGAGAGAGAGAGAGAGAGAGAGAGAGAGAGAGAGAGAGAGAGATTTCATCTTAAATAGCAATAGTCTTCTTCTTGCCGAATAAGGCAAGGAAAAATTTATGTGTTCAATAATTTTCAGTAGTTTCTCTTATATGTTTAAAGATGTATCTTTTTCATTTATTTTGATGAAATAATTAATAATTTTGACCCAAAATAACCTTAGAAAACTTAATTTTATAATAACAAGCGCAATTTAATTTAGCCTAATCCAGCTAAATATATTTTATATAAATTATCAATAATTTAATTTTAAACAGACACAATGAAATATACTTTCTCGTTAGGTTCAGAATATATATATACTTCTACTTACACTTATGTCACACTACACATGTACACGTTTATGTATACACACTCATCTGAGTTTTCTTTGATTTTTATCTTAATATTTCTTATTCTTATTGCTTCTCCTTGCATATCCATGGGGAAGTGGAATAAGAATCTTTCCTCCGTAAGCCATGCGTGTTGTAAAAGTCAACTAAAATGCCGGGAACAACGGACTAGTAATCCCTTTTCCTGTAATAATTACGAAAAAGAATAATAATAAGAAAATTGTCAAAGTGGGAAGTCTGAATGTGCGTGGATGTTTTGCGAATGATAAGAAAGAGATGGTCGTGGATGTTATGAATGAGAAGAAGCTGGATGTCCTGGCTTTAAGTGAAACAAAGCTGAAGGGGGTGGGAGAGTTTCAGTGGAAAGGAATAAATGGGATTAGGTCAGGGGTTTCTAATAGAGTTAGAGCTAAAGAAGGAGTAGCAATAATGTTGAAGGATAAGATGTGGCAGGAAAAGAGGGAATATAAATGAATTAATTGAAGGATTATGTGGAGTAAAATAAAGGTTGGATGTGAAAAGTGGGTTATAGTAAGTGTATATGTACCTGGAGGAGAGAGAAGTGTAGAGGAGAGCGAGAAATGTTGAGTGAGTGTGTGGGGAGTTTTGAACCAAGTGTGAGAGTACGTGTGGTTGGGGATTTCAATGCTAAAGTGGGTAAAAATGTTGTGGATGTAGTGGTTGGTAAACATGGGGTGCCAGGGGTAAATGAAAATGGGGAGCCTTTAATTGGTAATAATTAATACATATTTTATGAAAAAGAGGATAAATGAGTATACAAGGTATGATATAGCACGTAATGAAAGTAGTTTGTTAGATTATGCATTAGTGGATGAAAGGTTGATGGGTAGGCTTCAGGATGAACATGTTTATAGAGGGGCAACTGATACATCGGATCATTATTTAGTTGTAGCTACAGTTAGAATAAAAGATAGATGGCAACAACAAGTAAGAGGGAGGTGAAAGTGTATAAACTAAGAGAGGAAGAATTTCGGGTGAGATATAAGCAATCTATTGGCAGAAAGGTGGGCTGGTGCAAGTATGAGTAGTGGGGGGGGGGGGGTTGAAGAGTGTTGGAATAGTTTCAAGAATGCAGTATTAGAATGTTGGGCAGATGCAAACTCTTGATAAGTATTTTCAAGCCTCTTAAAAAAAGCATTTTATGTGATTTTGTACATAATTATAGTATTGTAAACATGTTAATTAAAAGAGAGACGGAAAGGAAGGCAGACAGACAGACAGACAGAAAAGAAGAGAGAAAAAGAGATAGAGATAGAAGTAAATGAGTTTCCATGTGTGTATGTGTGTGTGTGTGTGTGTGTGTGTGTGTGTGTGTGTGTGTGTGTGTGTGTGTGTGTGTGTGTGTGTGTGTGTGTGTGTGTGTGTGTGCGTGTGAGTGCGTGTGTGTGTGTGTGTGTGTGTGTGTGTGTGTGTGTGTGTGTGTGTGTGTGTGTGTGTGTGTTGTGTGCGTGTGTGCGTGTGTGTGTGTGTGTGTGTGTGTGTGTGTGTGTGTGTGTGTGTGTGTGTGTGTGTGTGTGTGTGTGTGTTTGTGTGTGTGTGCGTGTGTGCGTGTGTGTGTACTCATCTAATTGTACTCACCTAATTGTGGTTGCAAGGGTAGTTACATAGCTCCTGGCCCCGCCTCTTCACTGGGCGCTACTAGGTCACTCATCCTGCTCCAGGAGCTTTATCGTACCTCTTCTTAAAGCAATGTATGGATCCTGCCTCCACTACATCATTTCCCAGACTATTCCACTTCCTGACAACTCTGAGTCTTCACCTTCTAACTGTGTCCCCTTGTCGCTGTGTCCCATCTCTGGAACATCTTGTCTCTGTCTACCTTGTCGATTCCTCTCAGTATCTTATAAGCCGTTATCATATTCCCCCAATCTCTCCTGTACTCCAGTGTAGTCACGTCAATTTCCCCTAACCTCTCCTCGTTGGACATACCCCTTAGCTCCGGGACTAGTCTTGTTGCAAAATTTTGCACTTTCTCTAGTTTCCTTACGTGCTTGGCTAGGTGTGGGTTCCAAACTGGTGCCGCATACTCCAATATGGGCCTAACGTATACAGTGTACAGGGTCCTAAACGATTCCTTATTAAGATGTTGGAATGCTGTTCTGAGGTTTGCTATGTGCCGTATGCTGCAGCAGTTATTTGGTTGATGTGCGCCTCAGGAGATGTGCCCGGTGTTATACTTTAGCCCCTTAGACTGTATTCCGTCTTCGGTCTTACTTGCCCTCCCCAGACTTCATGACTTTGCACTTGGTGGGGTTGAATTCCAGGAGATAGATGTTGGACCAGGCCTGCAGCCTGTCCAGATCCCTTTGTAGTTCTGCCTGGTTCTCGTCCGACTGAATTCTTCTCATCAACCTCACATCGTCTGCAAACAGGGACACAAATACCAGGAGCAGCACCGGTCTTAGAACTGATCCCTGTGGAGCCCCGCTCGTTACAGGCGCCCACTCTGACACCTCGCCGCGTACCATGACTTGCTGCTGTCTTCCTGACAGGTATTTCCTGATCCATTGCAGTGCCTTCCCTGTTATCCCTGCCTAGCCCTCCAGCTTTTGCACCAATCTCTTGCATAGAACTGTCAAACGCCTTCTTACAGTCCAAGAAAATGCAATCTACCCACCCCTTTCTCTCTTGTCTTACTGCTGTCACCCTGTCATAGAACTCTAGTAGGTTTGTGACACAGGATTTCCTGTCTCTGAAACCGTGCTGGCTGCTGTTGATAAGCTCATTCCTTTCTAGGTGCTCCACCACTCTTCTTCTGATAATCTTCTCCTTGACTTTGCGTACTATACATATCACTGACACTGGTCTGTAGTTTAATGATTCGTGTCTGTCTCCATTTTTGAAAATTGGGACTACATTTGCTGTCTTCCATACCTCAGGTAGTCTCCCTGTTTTGATAGATATCCCATGGAGAGATATTATCCGGCCCCATCGCCTTTGAAGTATCTAGCTCGCTTAGCAGCCTCTTCACTTCATCCTTGGTTGTATGTATTGTGTCCAACACTCGATGGCGTGCCCCACCTCTCCGTCTTTCTGAAGTCTCTTCTGTCTCCTCTGTGAACACTTCTTTGAATCTCTTGTTGAGCTCCTCACATACTTCGCGGTTGTTTATTGTGATATCCCCTCCTACCTTTCTCAGCCTAATTACCTGATCCTTGACTGTTGTTTTCCTCCTGATGTGGCTGAACAACAGCTTCGGGTCAGATATGGCTTTCGCTGCTATGTCATTTTTGTATTGTTGTTGGGCCTCCCTTCTTGTCTGTGCACATTCATTTCTGGCTCTATGACTGCTCTCCTTATTCTCCTGGTTGCTTTGCCTTCTATCCTTCTTCCATTCTCTAACACACTTGGTTTTTGCCTCTCTACACCTTTAGAACATAAGAACATAAGAAAGGAAAAACACTGCAGCAGGCCCGTTGGCCCACACTAGGCAGGTCCTTTACAATCCATCCAAGTAACAAAATATTTGCCCAACCAATTTTCAATACCACCCTAGAAATGAGCTCCGTTAACCCTATCCAATCATATGCAAGTCCCACTCAAATCCAACCCCTCTCACTCATGCATTTATCCAACCTATATTCGAAACTACCCAAGGTTTTAGCCTCAATAACCCAACTAGGCAGACTGTTCCACTCATCAACTACCCTATTTCCAAACCAATACTTTCCTATATCCTTTCTAAATCTAAACTTGTCTAATTTGAATCCATTACTGCGGGTTCTCTCTTGGAGAGATATCCTCAAGACCTTATCTGTATCACCTTTATTAATACCCATCTTCCACTTATACACTTCGATCATGTCTCCCCTCATTCATCGTCTAACAAGTGAATTCTTCACTTGCCTAACCCTAGGGCACGACCTACTTCCACATTGGACAAATGTGACACCACCTACGACTGCTGCCCCTCACCTGTGTAAGGTTTATAAGCTGCTTCTCCGCTCATATGCTGTGCATATGAGGTGCAGAGTAGTAGTAGTAGTAGTGAGAATGTAGCCACTGAAAGGTCATGTCCCTCTCAGATCCAATAATTCTCACTTGAAAAGGTTGTCGAATGTGTTTTCTGTACCAAGATGCCATGTGTTGCAGTGTCTGACAAGATGAACATCAAAATGGTATACAATACCGACAGGTTGGTAGGTAAGACACATAGGCAACAGTTAGGCAACTTTATTCAGATAGTTCCTGACTATGGAACTGAACTTCTCCAGGCTGAGGGACTGACAACCTCAAATTCTGCGACTTCAAGGGTGATGGACTGATAACATCGTCTTCACATCTTTACTGTTCCTGCCTACTTTCTGTATTCGACTGAAGAAGCCTACTGTGTGGGCGAAACGTTTCGGAATAAAGTTGCCTACCAACCTGTCGGTATTGTATACCATTTTGATGTTCATACCCAAGAGTTGCACATGTGTCTAATTCAACAGGCATTGCTGTCTTGGTTTAAGGTTGCTGCTTACCATAACCCCCAAGTCCTTTTCACAGTCTGTATGGCTAAGTTCTACATTATTTAACTTATAAGTGCTAGGGTTATGGACACTCCCGAACTTCAGAACCTTGCATTTATCTACATTGAACTGCATCTGCCACTTTGCTGACCAGGTATTGAGTTTGTCTAAATCCTCCTGAAGTTCCCTGATATCTACGTTTGAATCAATTATCCTACCTATCTTTGTGTCATCGGCGAATTTGCTCATTTCACTAGTAATTCCCTCATCAAGATCATTGATATATATTATGAACAACATCGGGCCCAAGACTGATCCCTGTGGAACGCCACTTGTTACAGATCCCCACTCGGATTTAACCCCATTTATGGACACTCTGCTTCCTGTCTGTGAGCCATGACTCGATCCACGAGAGCACTTTTCCCTCAATGCCTTGAGCTGCCACTTTCTTTAACAGTCTTTGGTGCGGAACTCTATCAAAAGCCTTACTAAAATCTAAGTAAATAATATCAAATTCTTTATCGTGATCAACAACCTCAAAAGCTTCACTGAAGAAAGTTAATAAATTAGACAAGAACGGCCTCTCGTGATTCCATGCTGAGTATCATTAATCAAGCTATGCTTATCGAGATGGATTCTTATAATCTCAGCTATAATTGACTCTAGTAATTTGCCTACAATTTAGTGAACCAAGGGATTATCTTGCCTTTCTCGTTATTTCTCTTAGCCTTGTGTACTAACCTCTTCCCAGCCTCCTTGCATAATGTTGTCACAAGATCGTAGGCATATTATCGAAGTTACTGTACTATGTTCCACAGTCAGCCCTCCTGGCCCTATATCACTCACTTATTTACCCCTATCTCACCTATGGTGTTTGTGCATGGGGCTCAACAACAATAAATCATCTCAGACCATTAATTACCCAACAAAAGGCTGCAGTTAGAATGATAACAAATTCCCACTCCAGGCAGCACACTCCACCAATATTCAAACTCTAAACTTACTCACCGTACAAAACATCCATACTTATTGTGCCTACTACATACATAAACTCGTATATAAGCCCTCTCCTCAAACTTTTCCTTACCAACCTCATGACCATAACACAGGACACAGATCACTCTTTGATGTTCCTCGTGTCCTTCTCACACTATGCAAAAACTCAATACACATAAAAGGCCTAAAAATCTGGAATTCATTACCTATGAATATAAAAGAAATACAGTCTATTTATTATTCAAGACTCTTCTTAAAAACCACTTACTTACCCACAACTAAATAAATACTGAATAACTGTATCTCATAAATGTATAACCTGTGACCCTATCAAACTGTTTTTTGTAATTACATTTCCTAATAGAATACTGCATTCTCTTGAATGTACAGTAACTCATCTAATGACCATATGGCCTGTTTCTGCACTACAAATCATTGATTTTACTCGATTTGATTCGATTATAATATACATTGTTATGCTACATATTTGTACAACTTCAATGCTTCTTATTTGAAATATTCATTTGTACTTCGTGTTGTAATTTGTTTACTGTAATTCTTACCACTAATATATCATTGCTTAGTTAATCTTAATATAATTTCAAGCCTGCCCATAATGCTCTACATACAAGGGGCTTTTGGCATGTACACCCAATCACTATATTTCTTTGTACAAGTATGTATCATGTCCAAATAAAAAATAAATAAATAAATAAATAAATAAATAAATAAATAAATAAATAAATAAATAGACATATTCAATCATCTCGTTTACTGACTTCCCTGCCAGTTCTCTGTCCTACTGATCCCCGTGCAGGAAATTCCTCTTGCCTGTGTAGTTCCTTCTGTTGTAGTTTGGCTTGATTCGTCCTGCCCCTCCTGCTTCTCTCTTCACTTGTAACTCTATTATGTATTCGAAGCTCAGAACCACATAATCACTGGCCCCGAGGGGTCTTTCATATGTGATGGCCTCAGTATCTCGAGTACCACCTCTATCACCTTAGCTTCCACATTTCTGGGCCCCCATGTAACTCTAGGTTCTCCCAGTCGATTTCCTTGTGACTGAAGTCACTCATGATCAGCAGCTTTGCCCTGCTCGCAAGAGCCCTTCTGGCCACTTATCTGTGCATACTCGTTTCTGGCTCTTCGACTAATCTCATTATTTTCTTGGAACCTTTGCCTTCTGTACCTTTTCCATTCTCTTGTAAACCTAGTTTTTCCTCCCTACACCTTCGGGTAAACCAAGGACTAGCTTTGGTCTTCCCATTATTTCTGTTGCCCTTGGGAACAAACCTTTCCTCTGCCTCCTTGCATTTTGTTGTTACGTATTCCATCATTTCGTTTACTGACTTTCCTACCAATTCTCTGTCCCACTTAACCTCCTGCAGGAAGTTCCTCATACCTGTGTAGTCCCCCCTTTTATAGTTTGGCTTTCGCTATTCAACTCCTGTTACCGTCCCCACTTGTAACTCTATTTTGTATTCAAAGCTCAGAATCACGTGATCACTAGCTCCAAGGGGCCTCTCATATGTGATGTCCTCAATGTCTGAACTGCTCAGGGTATTGTCCCTGACATGTTGATGCATGAGGTTTTCCAGTACCACATCCATCACCTTCGCTCTCCATGTTTCGATCTCCCTGTGGTTGAAATCACCCTTAACTAGTAACTTTGCTCTCCTCGAGTGAGCTCTTCTTGCCCCCTCAGCCAGTGTGTCCACCATCGCTCTGTTGTTCTCTTTGTATTCCTCTCTTGGCCTTTTGCAGTTCTGTGGTGGGTTATACATCGCTGCAATGATTACCTTATGTACCCCAGACTGAATTGTACCTACTATGTAATCCCTTTCTCCAATCTCGCCTATGACTTCCATTTTCTCAATTCCCCATCGGTTCTTTAATGAGCACTGAGATCCCTCCTCCCCCCCTGCTCCTTCTATCTTTCCTCAGGATCTGATATCCCGGTGGGAAGATGTGTGTGTGTGTGTGTGTGTGTGTGTGTGTGTGTGTGTGTGTGTGTGTGTGTGTGTGTGTGTGTGTGTGTGTGTGTGTAAACAGTTGATTAACCAACCGTATGATTCCTTTCTGCCAAGGCCTCGGCGATGCTCATGAAGAAGTTCTTGTGGCTTATGGTGCCAAAAGGTGCTAGGAAGAGAATGTTGGCGGAGTCCATCTCTTTCACGCTCACCAACACCAGCATCACTGCTAGCATCCAGCACCACCACCGCATCTGACAACACCAGGAGCGTTATTTCCTGTACATTAGCTTCTTCATTAATTGTTATTGTAGAGTCGTTGACAAAATATACTGGCATTATTAAAGAGGCACCAGAACATACATTTTTGGGAATCGCCATAAAACATCTACAATTGTCCTCTCAGCGGTATGACACAGTTTTTTGGTAACTATGACCCCAATAAATTACTGTGTCGATGAAGCTTTAAGATATTACACAGACAATTGTGATGCAGTATACTACTAGTATAACAAGGATATATGAAAACACAGCAAACAGAACTGGCAAGTGTGTGAGAGTAAGAAGTCCAGGAGTCGTCGCAGATTATGAGAAGATTGTAAAGTAATTCTTGATTAAAAGAAGGCCAGGAAAGATTTTGGAGGGAATTTGGAAAGATGGATGGACACAGATATCGAGGGTGAAGGCTGAAGGAAACCAAAACAAAGGTGAAGAGAGAGAGAGAGAGAGAGAGAGAGAGAGAGAGAGAGAGAGAGAGAGAGAGGAGAGAGAGAGAGAGAGAGAGAGAGAGAGAGAGAAAGAGAGAGAGAGAGAAAACGTAAGTGTGACAGTTGGATCAGCAGTGCCAAAGGGCAGACAATTTTTTCGTGCTGAAATAACTGAAATTAAATTATAGAAGGTGGAAATATTAGATACAGTCGACAACTCATGAAAAAATAAGATATGTAATAGAAACTCTATAAGTGAAGGATCATGACTAAGAGGTGATAAATACATAGACTAAATGAAAGATAATTTGTCCTGGATGTAATATGGGAAGAATAGAAAAAAATAGAATGTAATATGGGAAGAATAGAAGAAAAAAAATAATTTTAAAGAACAGTTATGATTAAAATAAATGTCTGCCTCAACGTAGACCAATTTATAATATAAGTAAAATTAAAAGAAATTCTTTAAAGAGTCAATGAGTTAAAAGGTTAATTATGTGTAGAAATTCCATTATGAAAATCACATCAGATAAACCAATAATTACAATAACAAGTTTCTGTACATAAAGAAATGCATCATAAGATTAATTTACCTCTGAGAAAAGTTGCATCAGAGATACCAAAGATGGAAATTAAAATGGACGCCTTGAAAGAATGTTCATTTCTTCCGGTGACTGGTACTTGATCTGAGGAATTGGTCATCTTTTCCTCTTCCTTGGATCAAATCTAATCATAACCAACTTTCCCTCTTTGGGGTGTTCTTCTTTTTGATTTCGATTTTTTTTGGCTCTGCGTCAGTTGTGTTGTATCATTCTTTCCAATGGTAGTGCAACAGTGTTTGTTTATCAGAAGGATATTGGATCAAAAGAATAAGAACGTAGGAATATAAGAATATGCAATGTCTGTGGAAAGATTAATGGTATATTCAAGGCAAGATCAGCTCAACCAACTTCACCCACTAATGTACCTGTTCAACCTATTTTGAAAGCAACCCAAAGGTTTCATTTCAGTGGAGATTTGTTCCTTCGACAACTCTGTTGCAAAATCCTTGTTTTCCTATTTTATTACCATTCTTAAACTTGTCAAGATTTAGTCAACTTCTACGAGTTCAGCCTTTCTAATTTATTTTTAGTACAATATTTTTTTAGTACAATATTTTTTAATACTTGACGTGCTGTTGGAGTGTGAGCAAAGTAACATTTATGAAGGGGTTCAGGGAAACCGGCAGGCCGGACTTGAGTCCTGGAGATGGGAAGTACAGTGCCTGCAATCTGAAGGAGGGGTGTTAATGTTGCAGTTTAAAAACTGTAGTGTAAAACACCCTTCTGGCAAGACAGTGATGGAGCGAATGATGGTGAAAGTTTTTCTTTTTCGGGCCACCCTGCCTTGGTGGGAATCGGCCAGTGTGATAATAAAAAAAAAATTATCTGCTGTATTTATTTATGATTTCTATTTGTTCTCTTAAATCATATATTCGTCTGTGATTCTTAGCATTTCTAGAGAGTGCAAATTCATTTCCTTCATCATGTCTCTGAATCAAAGATTTTTGATACATTGGATCATTTAATTGTTTCTCTGTATGTTTTCCAATTACTTTTTATTTATTCAGTAACGGAAATCACAGCCAAACATTTTACTCTAATACGGTTAACCATAAATTTATAAAATCTTAATATAATCCTTAGACGTCTATTTGTTATTTTGAACTTTAATACACTGTTGTCTAGGTGTTAAATTTTTGTTGATTAAGATCAAAAACCCAAAAAAAGTGAGTAACACTGCAGCAGCCTGTTGGCCCATACTAGGCAGGTCCTTTACAATTCATCTCTAACAAAACATTTGACCAACCCAATTTTCAATACTACCCAAGAAATAAGCTCTGATGTGCAAGTCCCACTCAAATCCAACCCTTCCCACTCATGTACTTATCCAACCTAAATTTGAAACTACCCAAAGTCCTAGCCTCAATACCCCAACTAGGTAGACTGTTCCACTCATCAACTACCCTATTTCCAAACCAATACTTTCCTGTGTCCTTTCTAAATCTAAACTTATCTAATTTAAATCCATTACTGCGGGTTCTCTCTTGGGAGAGATATCCTCAAGACTTTTTAATATCCCTTTATTAATACCTATCTTCCACTTATACACTTCGATCAGGTGCCCCCTCATTCTTCGTCTAACAAGTGAATGTAACTTAAGAGCCTTCAATCTTTCTTCATTACGAAGATTTCTAATACTATGTATTAATTTAGTCATCCTATGCTGAATGTTTTCTAACGAATTTATATCCATTCTGTAATATGGAGACCAGAATTGAGCTGCATAATCTAGATGAGGCCTTACTAATGATGTATAAAGCTGCAGTATGACCTCTGGACTTCTGTTGCTTACACTTCATGATATAAATCCCAGTAATCTATTTGCATTATTACGTACGCTTAGGCATTGCTGTCTTGGTTAAAGGTTGCTGCTCACCATTACCCCTAAGTCTTTTTCGCAATCTGTATGGCTAAGTTCTACATCATTTAACTTATAAGTGCTAGGGTTATGGACACTCCGACTTCAGAACCTTGCATTTATCTTACATTGAACTGCATCTGCCACTTTTCTGACCAAGAATATAGTTTGTTTAAATCCTCCTGAAGTTCCCTAACGTCTACGTTTGAATCAATTATCCTACCTATTTTGTGTCATCGGCGAATTTGCTATATCACTAGTAACTCCCTCATCAAGGTCATTGATATATATTATAAACAACAACGGGCCCAGACGATCCCTGTGGAACGCCACTTGTTACTGATCCCCACTCGGATTTAACCCCATTTATGGACACTCTCTGCTTCCTGTCAGTGAGCCATGACTCGATCCACTGAGAGCACTTTTCCCCCAATGCCATGAGCTGCACTTTCTTTAACAGTCTTTGGTGCGGAACTCTATCAAAAGCCTTACTAAAATCTAAGTAAATAATCAAATTCTTTATGTGGTCAACAGCCTCAAAAGCTTTACTGAAGAAAGTTAATAAATTAGTTAGACAAGACCGCCTCTTGTGAATCCATGCTGAGTATCATTAATCAAGCTATGCTTATCGAGATGGCTTCTTATAATCTCAGCTATAAATTGACTCTAGTAATTTGCCTACAATTGAGGTCAGGCTTATTGGGCGGTAATTTGACGGTAACGACTTTCCCCTGTTTTAAAAATAGGATTACATTAGCCATCTTCCACATATCAGACCTACACCCGTTTGTGAAGAAATTAAAATTATAATAATTAAGGTTCCAATTCCATTTTCTTACCCTTAAAAACCTTACCCTGTGAAAAAATTTCATCAGGACCCGCGAACTTATTTGCTAGTGGTCTATCTCTTCAACAACCACATAAAAAATTAGATAATAGTGTACTTCTTGGTAACCAAAAATTAGTAAAACTTCGCCACACAGTGGCTTCATTTGTCCATAAAAGGAGAATTTTGAAGGAACCAGGCAAATGAGGTTTTGTTCTAACCTTGAATACATTTTAGGGTCTCATTTGAATAGAACTTTAATTTGATGATCCCTACATTTCTCAAGGTTTGAATGTACTTTAATCAATATCTCCTGTTCTCAAGATCCTCCTTTGTAGGCACTGAATGTAATGTCCATTGCCTGGAAACGTTTCCCTATAATTACCCATAGGTCTCAATTGTACTAATTTATCTATCGGGTCAGGTTCTTTGAACCATTCATCTATATCTATAGATGATGTGGATGACATATTTATCATCTAGCCACTATAAAAATGAATTCTGGAATATTTTAGGCAACCTGTGTAAAACCAAGAAAATAATTATTTAAAATCAAGCACATTTCATCTCTTTGAAAAGATGCCCAAGTTTTTTTTAAAGGGGGCCCCATCTTATCTCAAATTTTGTTCTATGCCCGGGAAAAAAAAAAAAACTTTTAGGGTTTTTTTCGAACCCCTGCAATTTTAAATTTTCATAGTCCCTTTAGCTTTTCTTACCCCCTTTTTAAATTCCCCTCTTAATGTCAATATACGATTCTAGATGACCCTCACCTTTTTTGATACGCAAAAAAATTCCTTTCTTTCCCCTAGAAGATTTTCAGCCTTTATTCACCCTTTTTGGGTCTTTTCTATTTGATTAATTTCTTTTATTGGGGGATAAGCGTTTTTGAGCCATGTATAGTTTGTAGTGAAGGGTTTCAAGAACCAAATGTTAAAAATTAGACACGTGCAACTCTTGGGATTTTTTTTGAGGAAACGTTTGCCAACAGTGGCTTCATCAGTCCAAAATGGAAAAAACTTGAAGAACAGGAAAAAATGAGGTAATCATCCCCAACCTTGAGTCGAGTTTCGCCCTAAATTTGATAGAATACTCAAGTTTTGATGGACTAAACACATCGACCAAGGTTGAGGGACTGTTTACCTTTTTTCTCCTCCTGTTCTTCAAAGTTTTCCTATTTTGGGGGATGATGAAGCCACTGTGGGCGAAACGTTTCCTCAAAAAAGATCCCAAGAGTTGCAAGTGCTAATTTATACATTAGTGT